CCCTTTCTCTCCCATTTCCGGCGTTCTTTCTCCCAGTAAACCTTATCTTTAATATCATCAAGCCTCCTTTCCCCATCATCTTAATTATTTCATTGCATTCGCCGGAAACAGGAGATGAAGGGATGGACTCGCATGGGAAGAAGAAAAGAGATGTGAAATGATCAAAATACCCTCATTATTTTAACAATTAAAATTTTTCGGCAGAATTTGGCCGGCAATTTGGCCGGAGTGACTAAAATTGACAAAAATTGCATAGTTAAGGTACTAAATTGGCACTTTTAAAAGTCAGGGACTGAAATTAACAAGACCCCTATAGTCATAGGACCAAAATTAAAATTTCCTCGTTGATAAACAATCAAAGCCTTGCAATAGAAATTGTTGAAGTACTGCAATAGTAATATTGATATGCATCACATGAATGCTCTATATGAGTTTTAATCTCCTCAACCGAAGGAAAAGTTGTGCAGGTGGCAACTTTGAATTCTCCTTGTTGAGAGATATTTTCTAATGAATGTTAGTTTGAACATATTCTTGGTGTATGAGATTAATTTCTTGTAAGAATATGATGTGAAATTTATGATTATGCTGTTCAACTTGAAGTAGCATGTGGACAACATTATCTCTATGTCTTACTAACAATGAGCATTTGTATATAATATCATTATTTAAATTCTTGGTTGAGTCATCTTGAAAGACCTATAATTCTTGTTTAAAGGGAAATTATGATAGGTTGAGATAACCGAGTTTGTTGAAATATATTCAACTATTGGGTATGTATCAGGCAAAGTGCGGAGCTGCTATAGTGCTCCACAAAGAAAATTGATAAAACTCAGTCTACAATGGAGCTAATGTCGGGCACCAAAAATCAATCTGGGTAAGAGATCAAATACTTTTGAGAAAAAATATTTGTAAGTGTTTCATTGTGGGGGTGATTAACTCCTGATATTTTCACTAAAAGTTTCTCCGTGGTATTGAGAATAATGATAAAAGAGAATGTTTCATGTTAAGCATGAAAATCTCAAGTTATTATTCACGAGTAAATGAAGTACTCGTCAAAGTGCATGTAAGTTTGATCAAGAGAATTAACTTACTTGAAGGCTAATTATGAAGATTAGTCATTGGAATGACTTAAAATCCAAGTGGTAATAAATTCGTGGTGGATCCCACTTTTGTGGTCAAACGAAGCCATTAAAAGAATTACAAAATAGTACACTAGTTGGTCATTCCTACAATGTGTGTACTTGTAAGGCTGAGCTACTACTCTTAATGAATTCATAATTCTTTGAGAATGGTGGTTTTGTTGAGACAAACCTAATGAATTCACTGCATAATGACTTGAGTACAACTTAGTGCCTTTACTCAAAAGAGGTAGACTCAAGTGTTGTGCTTATATGCATCTATGTGGATGACATACTAATATTTAGCCACAAATAGATGCTATAAAAGAGACTAAACAGACGCTATGTGATAAGTTTGACATGAAGGATCTAGGGGAGACCGATGTCACTATACAGAGAAGCTATTAAGGAAGTTTAATAGCTTCGAAGTGACTCCTGCACAAACTCCTATGATCCGAGCGTAAAACTGTCAAAAAACACTGAGACGGGTGTGTCACAAGAATAATATGCCAAACTAATTGGAAGTCTGATGTTCTTAATGAACTACACCAGACCTGATATCGCCCTTGCAATAAATAGACTCAGTCGATACACTCATAATCTAAGTGACAACCACTGGCATACACTAAGGAGAGTGCTACACTACTTAAAGGGTACTATCGACTGGGGACTACACTATACTGGATTCCCAGCAGCCTTAGATGGGTACTGTGATGCGAACTGGGTAAATGACAGTAGTGATGTAAGCTCCAGCAGTGGATATGTGTTCACTATGGGTGGAGCGGCACTATCGTGGAAATCCACTAAACAATCGTGTATAGCAAGATCAACTATGGAAGCTTAGTTCATAGCGCTTGATCTAGCTGGACAAGAGGCCGAGTGGCTAAGAAACCTACTGTAGACGTGCCATTGTGGGGGGTGTACTACACCATCTGTGTCCATACACCACGATTCTCAAACTGCTATATGCGTAGCAAAGAATAGTGCTTACAATGGGAAAAGAATGCACATAAGGGTCAGACATCAGTCCGTATGACAATTGATCACGACTGGGGTAACCACGTTGGAGTTTGTGAGATCCGATAGGAATATTACAGATCTTCTCACTAAAGGAGTAAATAGAAAGGTCGTCCTTGATGCATAAAAGGAAATGGCCTTAAAATCAACAGAGTAAGCCAAGCTTACGTAAAGAAACTGAACATGAGATGTTCTATGTTAGGGTCTACGCAGAGGCAGACCCCTAGTCAAAGAGTTTGCCTTCCGAAGAACCTGCATAATCGGTGCTGATGTGTGGACATGAGTTCAAAACTACCTCTCCCTGGCTAGTTCAAGATTCAATTCACTACTAATAAGGAGAAAGTTACTCAAGTTACTACGTGTAGTTCAAGGTCTAAACCACTGACATTAATGCCAGCGCTCACTTCCGCTCAGACATTATCCTTTTACTTTCCCCTTCAAATATGTGGGGGATTGTTGTGAATAATTCAAAGAGAAAAGAGAAAATAGAATGAGTGGCTATAAATTATTGTTTAATATTTTAGGCCAGCACTAATTGCTCTATGTTGTGGCCTGCGCCACTCATGTTTTGTGTGGCTGAGATGGAGGAAGCTGCTTACTATATATAGTAGCTCCCAACATCATTTTTAGAATACACTCAACATTTATAGCTTCTTCCTTCTTTCTCGTGTGAGGATTAATATATATATATATATATATATATATATATATATATATATATATATATATATATATAAAATCTCGTGTCTGCCTATTAAAGTCAGAGCAATAGTGTGGTTCGCCTATGTGATTGCTAGTGCAAGCTATCTATAGTAGGTCTGTGTAGCTTGTCGAAAGCATGACAGGGTTTTAACTGCACTATTACTGGGCAAATAATGCTCTTAAGGTAGTGTTATTATAACACGGCACATATTTCCCTTCTACCATACACCCGTTGTGTCCGTGCTTCTTAAATCGTTTTCCGCCCGCGCGTTGACGTTGAGAATATTCTCCAACAGATTCGTCTTGATTCTTTCAAGTCGAACACTCAACAACAACCACTTTTTGTGATAGAGGAAGTTGGAGGATAACCCTAGCAAGGCGACTTCATGATTGACTCTTGGCTAATTCTTGATCAGGCAGTGAAAGACAAGTTGACGAGGAGATCTATATTGTCTCAAGGATTGTTACTGGAAGAAGCAAAAGGCTTCAGTTTACTTTTGTATTTTGTAACAAATACTTTGTGAAATTCCCCTTCGAGTTTAAGGAGAAGAGTGGAATACGAATGTTTTTCGAACCACTATAAAAATTTCTCTCCCTCTCTCTACTTTTCATATTATATATCATTGTGATAACCCCATATTTGTTATAACACTTTCAAGCAAACACACAAATTAAAACTTAGCAACAATTTGATTTATTTGGCAAGTTTAAGACTTCTACTGCAAGAAATTATATTTCCTTAACTCAGTTTCCAAAATTCAAGCTCACTTATTTTTATTTCGAATTTTTTTAAAGTCTTTTCAACTCCCCCACCCCCACCCCCACCCCCCACCCCCCTCCTCTTCTATGCTTTAACTTGCCAGGGACCAACACAATATTTATTTATTTCGGGAATTATAAAATTTTTTGAGAATTTTAACATCTGGGTAGTCATTTTGAGGTAGTTGTACGTTGATTGATTTTTGGTCACTTCCCGTAAATCTTTAATTTTCCAATCACTTTTCCGACCACCTAAAAAAATGGTCGAAAAAGTGATATTATATTTTTTTTTTACTTTTCGTCGAAATATTATAGTGGGGAAATATGTCGGAAGTTCCGACCACCTTTACTTAGTGGTCGGAAGTACCGACTACAAAATAAAGGTGGTCGAAAAAAAATTTCAGCCGTTTAAATTTTTTAAACTGAGTTGGGAATTTCCAACCACCGGTGATCGGAAATTCTGAAATCTTCCAATCTTTCTACTAGCCGATTTTTCGACCACTTTACAAAATTGGATGCTATTTCCGACCACCTTGTCCTGTGGTCGAAAATAGCGACAGAGGTTTTTCCAGATATCAAAAGTGGTCAGAACAATAGTTTTCAACTGGATTTAAGATCACTTTCATGTGGTCGGAAATTCCTTGATTTTCAACAGTGGGTAAAGATTATAATATGATCTAAATGGAATCAAATTCTCCTAAAAAGTAAGGAAGACTTTAATTTTTTATTTTCACATGTTCCAAACCAAAAAAATATTAAAAATCTATCTCTCTCTCCCTCTCTCCGTCTCTCTCTCTCTCTCCGTCCTCTCTCTCTCTCTCTCTCTCTCTCTCTCTCTCTCTCTCTCTCTCTCTACTTTTCATATTATCTATTACTATGATAACCCCATATTTGTTATAACACTTTCAAGCAAACTCACAAAACTGAGCTACAATTTGATTTATTTAGCAAGTTTAAGACTTCTATTGCAAGGAAATTATATTCCCTTTAACTCAGTTTGTCTATTACTCGTATCCCATTTTACCATCCTACGTATTATTTGTCAAATCAATTTTTTTCGTTGTTTATTTATTTGCTTTAGTAATTCCTTATTATTTTTAATATAATTTTTTAATATTACTTTTAATTTAATTTATAGATATATAAATTTTATATTCTTATAATAAAAATTTAATATTATAAAAAATTGAATTGTAAATAATTCTAGCAAACCCTCATTAACCAAGACACATAAAATTAGACAGAAGGCGTATAAAAAATGAAAAGTGATAATTTTCTAAATAAGTATAATCTTATTGAAAAAAAATCTAGCTTATTGCCCCTTGTTAGTTATAATATTAGGCATCATACTAAAATTTCTACAAACCTAACACATAAAAGAAAAACAATCAAGAACAATTACCATATACTCTTCTTCTGAAATACGACCTAATCCGCGAGCCGTTCGGTAAGTATAATCGCGGATGTCAACTGCAAATGTGTTTCCATTGCCAATTATGTAACCCTAGTGCAACATAACTTGCAAGACGTGTTACTCAAAGCTATGGATCGGATTTAGGAAGATCTAATGGCTTTAAAGTAAGGAGAAATGGAAAAAAAAATGCAGTAGCATTTTCGTAAATGACTCAAATTTTATAGTAAAATTAACAACATCATAGAATGCAACTAACAACACCAAATTGGCTGCACCTCTCATATGTACAAGTGCTATTAAAAGATGTACTATATATTGTTGATAATTGCACTTTATAGCGCTACTAGTTGCACATTAAAATTCAAGTTCTTTGCTAAAATATCACTGGAATATTGAACAGGTGCACTCTGTAACTCTGCTTCCATGCAATTTATATTATTGAAAGTACAGTTGCACTTTAGTGTTACTTGTACTTTAAATTCAAGTTATTTACAAAAATGTCATCGCGTGTGTGTGTGTTCTAATTGCTACAGATTTATTAAAGAGAACGACTCTTTAGGTTAACATGTGTTAAAAGTGCAAGTAAATGTTCCAAGTAGGCAAATAAAATGTGCAACTTAAATCATTTAAAAGTGCAACCATTTTCACCTAATAGTGCAAGTAATTTATTTGTTTACATTGATGCACCTAATGATGACATTATGTGTACTTAATATTGCTGCTTGGTGTATATTATATTATTACAGTTGTAATACATTTTACTTGCCCTTTTAATACATTTATATATATATATATATATATATATATATATATATATATATATATATATATATATATATATATATACACACGTATGTGTGTATGTGTTGTAAATGAAACATGTTCATACTTAAAATCTTTACCAACCTTAAGATTAACATGTGGCTTAAATCTTGCATCAATCCCTGTAAATTAACAAGTGGGAAATTATTGAAATATATTAATTATATTACCCAAAAATTTAAAATATAAATAAAGATTCATGACACTAAAAAATTTGTAATGATGGATAGTGTCTGTAACATATTCAAACAAAATATTTTGCACGGATACTTATATCATGAACCAATGTTCATATTGCAATATAATATTAACGAACCCAAGTTATTATAATCAAAATATATCACATAATTCCCACACCTATATTGGATATTTGTATCGTAATGGTAATTAGTGTTTCAACTGTACAATCATGAAAGTATAAATAATATTTGAGGTGTTGTGGTGTTATAAATATTTTACAAAGTTTGGTAGGAATTTATTTTGATTGGTAAAGATGTTCTGGTTAATTTTTGTTTTTTTTTTTAATGCTACTGGCTCTATTACATTGTAGTATCTGTTTATATACTTTCTCAACCTACGGAAACACAAAGAACCAATAACGCCTCCACTAAGGCTCAAACTCATAATCTTCCAAATGGAAGTTCAACCCGGGTACCATTAGACCACATAGTCCTGGTAGGTGTTCTGGTTAATTAGAAGAAAAAAATATTAAAATATGATGATGCATGTTATTTAAAGGCTGCTTATGCATGTTATTTGACTTTCCATGTTGGTTAGTAACGGAGATTAAAGACTTGGAAAGTGAGTACACATTTAAGGGGGCGTTTGGTTCATGGAATGTTAGATTACTTTAGGGAATGTTAGATTACTTTAGGGAATGTTAGATTGCTGGGAATGTTAGATTCCTGTGGTTGGTTTAAAACTAAGATATGTAAATAAGACAACGGTAATAAGATAAATTTATTAAAACGTCCAAAGCTCAACATTAGTATTAAGACAAGGGAATGTGAGGGAGTGTTATACCCTGGACCCGTGTCCTCCATGCCCATAATTTCTATACTATAGATTCATAATTTCTATACTGTAGATTCATAATTTTTATATTGTATATTCATAAAATTTATAATGTAGATTCATAATTTCTATACTGCACATTCTTAATTTCTATACTGTAGATTCATAATTTCTATACTACACATTCATAATTTCTGTATTGTAGATTCATAATTTCTATACTGTAGATTCATAATTTTTATACTGTAGATTTATAAAATTTATAATGTAGATTCATAATTTCTATATTGCACATTCATAATTTTTGTCCTGTAGATTCATAATCTGATAATTATGTATTCATAATTTGATAACTATACAGTTTAAAAATTATGAATCTATAGTACATAAATTATGAATGTGCAATATAAAAATTATGAATGTACATTATAAATTTTATGAATCTACAGTTTAGAAATTATGAATGTACAGTATAGAAATTATGAATGTACAACGTGTCCACCATGCACATGGTGGACACGGGTCCATAGCATAATTTGCCGAATGTGAGATTACCTAAGAAATTGGAGGGTATCTCACATTCCCTTCCAATATATAAAAACTTAATGCAGAGGTTATATGACATTCTCTGGGAAAGTTATATATCCTGAACCAAACATGAGAATCTTATATTACCAAATATAACCTTGGTTATCTTATATAACCTGAACCAAACGCGTTAAAGTTTTTCATATGATCCAGTTTTTATTCTTTTACGCTCTTCTGTATTTTTTGTTGTATTACAGAAAACAAGCATTTTTCTAACTTAAATTTTTTATTATACAAATAAAATTATTTATAAAAATATCGTTAAAAAAACTCTAATTGCGATCTTTTAAAAGACATCACATTGATTTTTTTTTTTAATTATTTTTTAAAATTAATATATAGTATAGTTTTATAAAGTCACTATTGTTAGTTCATTACTACAGATTATTTATAAAGTCACTACAACAAGTCAATTAAGTTACTAATTTACTATTGTATGTTTATTAAGTGAATACTACTTGTTCAATAAGTCACTATTCTAGGTTCATGAAATCAATAATGCATGTGTGTACTATATGTTAATAAAGTCACTACAACTTATTCATTAAGTAATTATTGTAAGTTAATAAAGTTGCTATCACATGTTCATTAAGTAAATACTGTAGGTTCATAAAGTGAATACTACAAGTTCATATTTGATATATATATTCTTAATTTAATTATCTTTTTTTTTTTTTTAACGAATCACATAAACTTCAATGAAATATTTTATAATGACTTATTACCATATGATATTGCTTGAGCAACCATTGGAACGGTAATACCAGAATATGAGTCTCCACCAACATAGAATGAGTTGGATTGAAATTGAAAGTGATCTTCTAACCACTATAGAATAATCCAAGTATTAGTTAACTAATGCAATTTTCACAATATATATGTGCACGTGTGCCTATCACAATGAAAACTGAAAAGTGTTTACCATGTGAATAAATTCAGCTCCATGATAACTTATTTCTACATCAGTATAATTTTTTGAACTTTTAGCGTACGAAAATCCTTTTCCCACAGGTAACTCTAAAAAGATAAAGCTTGCAACCTAGCAATAATTTTATGCACTTCATATATTAGTCAATTGAAATTGACCTTAACATTTATTGATAATGTTCTATAAAAGCACAAAGTAAAGTACCTTTGTCCATGAATAAGGATTTAGTGACAATGTAGGCAAATTTGGGTTATTCTTTGATACATCAAATAACAATGGCCCTGTGCATACGGTTAATTTAATTTAGAAATTTTTTCCTTGACACAATATTTATATTATAGGCATTGTTTATATAATTATACTTAAAAATCAATTTAGTTCTAATTCATTTTTTATATTATTTAATTTTATATTAGTGGATGAACTTTACATATCTAAAGACTAGACTAAAAGTTCTGTTAAGCACAAAACGTCACATTAGAAAATCATAACAAATCTGTTGAAACAATGAAATAAAAAATAAAAATATTTGTTATTAAAAATAATTTAAAAATAATTTTTTAACACATCAAAGTTATGCATGTAAAAAACCTATGTTAAAAAAAGAAAAGATGCAATTTTAAAGCTCATCCAATTCCTCTGTCATTCCAACAAAAGAAGAGCATCCGGGACCACAGGAGATTCAAAGTACAATTGGATCAATATTGGGATTTGATCAGACTTTACAAAATAGTAAAAAAGTTGTACATCTTTCGATTCTCCAACACCGATACATCTAATCACAATCACCAAAGTATATTAAATTCATTATATATATATATATATATATATATATATATATATATATACCCTTAAAATACAAACGTGTGGACAAAATCTAGCCATAGGATGTGATTGGATCAATGGATTAGATGAAGGCATATGACTGAAACACGGATTGTTAATTAATGTAGATAAGGACAATATTGGGAATGCATTCTCACCGTAAAAAAGGAATAATTTGGATTTAAATAGGAATAAATTTGATTTGTATAATATGCAAGAATTAAGGAAGTTTAAATCTGGTAGGATTTGAAGTCATCCCTGGCAATGAGAACCTTTACAGTTCATGTTAATATTCACTTCTATCCGTGTGTGCATGGCTGCTAATTTTGTGTGCGTGGATTAAAACAATAGGTTATGTATTAGCACTGACGTTTGGTGGACGAACAATGGTGTAGTAGTTAGTGCGTCGTTATGTGCATGCCTTCAAAAATATATGTGCATGGTTGAATCCTTGTATTTTTTTTTTATGAATTATAGTAATGATAAGTGTGATGTGAAAAAAAAATTAGGCCATTATTACTATTATGTGTGTGCATTAATTACCAAACAATATTAACTCTACAGATACAAGCTTGTCTTTGTACCATTTACGGGGGTGGACAACCACAAGAGGTGTGTTACGTTTGGGGCAGGCCCCATTGCAAAAGAAGATGTGTAGTCGTATGAGTTGCTATTAAAAAGCTTCAAAACTGCGATATATTTAAAATAATACGAATACTAAATTCATTTGAAGTTAAATTAAATAGTCGTCAAACTTTTGAATTTTACCCATGGATGTTATAGATTTAGTTAAGTTATGCACACTGCTTAACGCCAATGTGCACACACGTTTTTTTATTACTAATCCTATAAGCTAATAGTGAACTACTCACTTCTGTGAAATTTATTAAGTGTGTACCCATGGTTGAAAGTTATTTAGTTGTGCACGCACACTATTTAACGCCAATGTGCACTCATGTATTTAAAAACTAAGCGTATACGATAATATTGGACTAGTCTCTTTAGAGTTGTACCCATGGTTGGTACTTAATTAGTTGAGAGCTATGCACACTGCTTCTTTAGAGTTGTACCCATAGTTGGTATTTAATTAGTTGAGATCTATGCACACTGTTTAGCACCATTGTGCATACACACTTGTAATTACTAAGCCTATAAACTAATAATGAACTACTCACTTCTGTGAAATTTATTTAGTTTTTACCCATGGCTGACATTTATTTTGTTGCGGATGCACGCTATTTAAAGCCAATGTGCAATCACGTATTTAAAAACTAAGCGTATAAGATAATATTGAACTGGTCTCTTTTGTGAAATTCATTTACTTTTTAACCATGATTAAAATTTGTTTAGTTGTACATGCACACAGTTTAACGCAATTGTGCACACATGTGTTTATTAACTAAGCCTACAAGCGAATATTTCAACAATCACCTATGTAAATTTAGTTAGTTATTATTCACGACTGAAAAAAAGCCATACGCAATTACGCACACACCTACATGCGCATGTGCACACATGGATTGAAAAAAACTAATACATGACTAAGATATAATAAACACAGCAAGCACACCAAACCTTCAACCCACGAACATAGATTCAAAAGTAATAAATACTAACAGCAGTATTCGGACAAAAAAAAAAAAAACAATTAGTGCCAAAAAATACTATGAGCACAGTATGAAGTAGTCGTGTGCACATTACAAGGACCACCCAAAAAGACCATAGTAGATAAAACACACGTCTACACAGACGGAAGAGGAACAGAGATAGATTGTTAGGCACGAGACAAGTTTCGTAGTCTATGCACATTGAACTCAGACACTGCTAGATCCTTCATGTAACGTAGTCTTAGATTATGCAATCCGAGACCCGCTGGCTTACATAGGACTCCATGTGACGCAGAACCTTGGACCTCTAGCCTGGAAAGAAAACAATAACATCCATGCAAACATGTAAGCCAAAACACGCGATCTAATGACCACACACAACAGAACCCCAAAAATGAATTAAACGCAGGCAAAAGTACTACACCAAAGAACCGAGCACACAACCTGACCCAAACATTCACAATTACACCAACATCGAGAACCCAACAATAAATTGATCGAGTCAAATGTGAGCACACATCCTGACCAATATTACCTTTCTGTACAATTATGAATTATTACATGAAATTAACCTAATCACAATTGTAAGTTCATCACAAATTAAATGCCTAAAATATTATTTTCATGTGCATTATTATTTTTATATGCGGATAATACAAGTTCTATGTATTTTGGTCCTTGATACAACATGGACCATATGTCCATATTCCAAGATATACTTTGCCTTTTAACATCATGAGTTACTGGCAATTTTTTTTTTTTTTAAATAACTTCTTTAAAATGAAAAATATTAGATAGATAAAATTTAATCCACCAAGCAAAATTAGATAGAAACTAAGTGCGAACACCTCACGAGCAAAACCCAAAATTCGAGATTAAACAAAGAAAAAAAAAAGGCACAGCATGATTAACAACATTCTGAAACTGTAAAGGGCAATAAAATAACATGAAATCATAGTTCCACTGTATTCACTAACTCCATTCCAATACAGTTAAACACACATTGGTGATTAAAAAACAAAACCACAAAAGTTTGGTGAATGTGAAATGGTGATTGAATGACAGTAGAATCTTTTAACAAACTGATTATTCAAACACAGTTAAGCACACATTTCAGTTCATAAAAAACAAAACTTAACAAGACAGGAAATTTTAAAACGAATACACACTGTGACACTGACAAGATATTGCATCAACAAAAATGAACAAATTCAACAACAAATGCAGAATAGGAAGCAACAAAAAATAAAACCCCAAACAAACTCAAACGGATTTTGAAAGAAAAAAAATTTTGAAACTGGCCAGTAAATTGGCCAGAACCACCACCACCAGTAAATTGGCCCCAACCGCCATAGTAAACCCCAAAACAAAACCCACACCTCAACAATCCCCCACACCAAACTACCCCCAAAACCACAGCACACCACGAACCACACACCCACGACCCAGAAACCACCACCAACAAAAACCCTAGGTACCAAATCCGGGTAAAAAACCCCAATACCTCCACCCCAACCCACAAAAACCAGCGCCTACGAGCCAGCAAACACCAAAATCACCCCGGTTATACCCAAAAAATGCAGAAAAACACAAACCCCCCCCCCCCCCCCCCCCCCCCCCCCCAAAAAAAAAAAAAAAAAAAAAACACAAAAGACAAACTAACTAACCTCGACCGACAACCGATGGACCCCGCCTCTTCACTGTGCCGCGGTCCCCCGATAACCATGGCTACGTTGAATTGAAGAACAGAGAAGCAAAGCCGTGGAAGAAACGCGTGATGCGGTGAAAGCCGACACCTCCTACGCACGAAGATAAAAGAAACGGCAGAATAGAAGGAAATCCCAACGTCGCGTGAAATTACATACTAAAATCGGTGTAGGATTTAATCACTAGTAAAATACCAAACCTACCCCCCTTAACATAAAAACCCATTAAATTAAAGAATTCACCACGCGGGAATCATAGCCATCAAAATGCAAGATCTGATGACCCAGATTAGTCCACATGTTTGTACTTTAAGAGGTGTTTTCACCTGAATGTAATTCTATATATATATATATATATATATATATATATATATATATATATATATATATATATATAATTGAGATATCAAATGAGAATAACCAAGGCAAGAACTATGGACAAATCTGATATATCCATGATGGATGATTAATGTTTAAAAATTAATGAAAAATAATAAAAAATGCGATGTCATTTTTGTAATTTTCTATAGTTAAGATTGTGCATTTAGAAATGCTGTATTCGCGGATAATTGAAAGCTTGGACACATCCACACCTTCAATCATGAAAAATCAATGACTAGAATCTTATAATTACTAAATTTTCAAATTTTCAATAATTATAATATTAACCACTCTTAAAACTCCTTCAATGTGATAAGATCAGAGATGTACCCGGTTTCAAGTTCAAATGAAAGACGCCCTTCATGTCGAAACCCTGGGAGATACTCCACCTTAGAGCCTGTTGCTTCAACATGATGTGAAGAGCAAAACCATAAAACAACGACAGTTCCTAGAAGCAAAGGAAGAGAACTGCAGCTTCTTCGTCGCCAAAGATTTGCGAACAACATTTTCGTCAAATTTAATTTAATTGTTAGAAGAAGAAAAGGCCCATTTTTGCTCGGTGCTAGGTTGCAGATCTTTTATACTAACGAAAACATATAGTGACAGCGGCTTCGCACCTAAATCATAAATTTTATTAATACGGAGGATTAGTTTACTTATATATATATATAGACGGGTTCATGTGCAGGTATAACTTTCTGTGCAGTTGTGCGGTTAGATTTGAGTCGTTGATCAAATCTAGATAACGACTCAAATCAATGAAAAAAAACGCTTGTTTGGAAGAAAGCTACGCACCTTTAAGTGTTAGATCTTAAGCACAAACTCACGCACATTAAGTACAAAACCCATGCACATTAAGCACAATCTCACGCTCATTAAGCACAAAATCCACGCATTTAAGTATTAACTCACAGACCTTAAGTTTCAACAACTACTGACATTAAGCACAGACTCACGTAATTAAGTACAAAACCCACGCACATTAAGCACAATCTCAAGCACAATAAGCACAAAACCCACACACTTTAAGTATTAACTCACAGACTTTAAGTTTCAACAATTACTGACATTAATCACTAACCTCACACACATTAAGCACAAACCCTACGCAAATTAAGCACAAACTCCACTCACATTAAGAACAAATCTCACGCACCTTAAACACAAAAGCCCACACTTTAAGTTTTACCAACTACTCACATTAAGCACAACCCCACGCACATTAAGCACAAAACTCACGCACCTTATGCACAAGACTCACGCATCTTATATACAAAACTCACGCACATTAATCACAGAACCGCTCACATTAATTTTGACCTAGATTCAAAAATTACAAAATTGCCACCGCATTTTTTTTTCAAACTTTTGATAATCTTGGACGTTGATTTAAGCGAGATGAATGGCCCAGATTAAACCGCACAACCGCACCTGAGCACTCTAACCACACCAGAACCAAATTATATATATATATATATATATATATATATGTATGTATGTATGTATATATATATATATGTATGTATGTATATATATATATTTATGTATGTATGTATGTATGTATTGAAATAAATATAGATGTTGGATACGTGTATGTTGAAACTGACGTTGCGACACAATAAATTTATAACGCAGTTTGGGCAAACAACCCTAAACTGCGAGGCACTTCTCGAATTGAGAATTTGCCTAAATCCACTAAAAGCTTGATATTCAAAGTACACTTGGTTTAGGGAACGGGGATTACACAATATGATGTCCTATCAAACTATTGTAACCTAAACACTTGTACTACTTTTCAAGGGGATTTGAGTATCTCTTCTCAATGACTCTCGTGCTCACAGTTAGGTGTTGAAAGCGTAAAAACTTGTGATTGAGAGTGGCTTCTTTTATAGGATCAATATAACCTTAGTTTGTGTGTGAGTAGGTTATTAATCCTAATTGGACTTGGATTATGATATCTTCTATGATTGGGACATGGTTTTTGCCACTACTGTTTTGACAATTCATTCTAAAGTCAACACTCTCCCCCTTTGTCAAACTTTTGCAAAAACCTTGATCCTTAGAGATGCTTGTTTCTTGACTTGTCTCCCCCTTAGTTTGATATGTGTCTTTTTCTTGTTTCAGATTTTGTAGGGACTATTATAACAGAGTATGGTCAGTTTTAATAATCAAAGTCCGAGAGAAAAAAAAGATCTTAACAAGGGAAGTTAAGAACTTTTTGTTGATTGATTGGCTCCAAAGTTCTGATTGGTAAACAGAACAGTCCCAAAAACTCTTCAGACGAGATAGATTACTCTTCAGACCAGATCACTGTTTTGATTACCAAAATTAGGTACAAGGACTGTCATGAACAAGCTGTCCACAACCAGAAAGGAAAAAAAACTTGCCAAGCTATCGGTTATCCAAAGAGATCCTGTCCAAACATTTTTGTCCAAAAATATCCAAAACGAAACTTATCCATATTCCACTGTCCAGGCTCCAGTTTAGATAGATTATCACTGTTTTCAAACAACTATTCACAAAGGAATCGTCCAGGCCAACAGCTTCAAAATAAATATTGTCCCCAAAACAACACAAATGTCTAAGTTAAACATTTCTGTCCAAAATTTATCCAAAACAAAAACTCCAAATTCCACTGTCCAGGCTTCAATATTCCACTGTCCAGGCTTCAACTTCCACTGTCCAGGCTCTTCTCCCCCTTTTTTGCTAAAAGTTTGCTAGGTAGATGTTTCTGCCTGGCCATCTTCTTCTTCACTATCATCTTCTTCATCATTTTCCTGATCTTCTTCTTCAATCTCAGTTTTGTCTTCTTCATTATCAGCACTGCTTTCTGCATTGCTTTCGGTTTTTAGAGCTTCCAACCATTGTTGAACTTCAGATTTTCCTTCTTTGATTTCCATGTGTTTTTGTAATAATTGTTTTTCTGTGTCATTCAATTCTCTTAATCTTTTCTCAAAATACTTGACCAAGGTTTGACGATTAGTTGGGTCATCAGTTGGAGAAGATGTTTTGAGATCATTTTGATGACTCCCCTTTTTCAGTTTCGTAGTTGTGTTTATGGTCTTGACCAGTGTTTTTGGTCCTTGTGTTTTCAGTCCTTGTTTGACTAGAATGGCATGGATCAGATTTGGAAAGATGAGCAAAGCCTTTGTCTCACTACCTTCTGCCAGTTTTGTGATCTGTGAGTACATAATATCTCCAAGATTTACCTGGATTCCCTTTCCTATTTTGTACAGTAGTTCTGCCAAACTTCTTTTGATTGTAGATTCGTGTAGTGAGGGCATCCAATTAACAAGTGCAATTTTCTGTAGTATAGCATACTTGCTTGTTAATGAGGCTGCTTTGACTTTGTTTTTATCAAAACTTGCATTCCCGGCTGTAAGTTCTTGGATGATCTGTTCATTCTCTATTTGAATTTTTTGTTCTTCATTTGGTGTTCCAAGTTGAGCATTGATGATTTCTGGGTTGAAGTCATAAAATTTTCCCCTCAGATAAGCCTTTTCATACATAAGGTTGTTGGGAGATGTTGAGCCTTTGGTGAGATTGCAGTAAAATTCTTTTACAACCTGTTCATCATAGGGATCTATATTGATGACTGATCCTAAGAGGTGGGTTTTTGTTATAGCCTCAGTGATTTGTTCACTATTTTCCAGCTTGTCTAGAACTAAGAGTTTTTGACTGATGACCTTTTTGTCCAAAAATTTGTTCCATCTTTTGGCATTTTCTTTGGTCAGGAATTTTGAACTATAGGGTTTTGGCAGTTTTGACAGGTCAGCATCACTAACCACCTTTTGTTTCCCTTTATCCTTAGCTGTCAATTTCTTTTTCTTCTTTTCTGCGTTTTCTTCCCCACATTCCGTTTCTTCTCTTACACTATCAGGGGTCCAATCTTGTTCTTCTTCTATAATTTTTCTTTTTTGCTTCTTTGCATTATTCTGCCTTGGGGGAGGAATACTGGGAGTTCTTCGGGGAGGTCTAGCAGAAATTGGGAAGTCGCTAGGTAGTTTTGCTCTGGGGTCTGCCCCTTCATAGGGGTCAGCCCTCTTCTTTTTCCTCTGTTCTTTGTCGGACAGAGATGCTGGAGGTGGAGGGTCTATAGTGGGTTCTTCTTCTTCTTCTTGGGTGGAGATAGCATTTTTCCTTAATTCAACTTCAACAGATGGGGAGATTGTAAGATCTCCGTGCAAATCAACTGTAAAAATACCTGGATTAGGGTTTTGGATTTCACTGAACGGGACTTGTGAGATGGGAACTGGGTCCATGATGGTGGTGGTGTCCTCCTCTTCTAGGCATACCGGGTCCGATGGAGCACCTTTGCCGGCGTACTGAGAAGTGGCTCCTTTCCGAGGTATTCTTCCTTGCCTTTGATTCCTCGTTCTAACCATCGTTGCTCTGTTGTAGGATGTAGAAGATGATTGTGGAAGTGATTGTGGGCGACAGATTGCAATCGGGTGTTGATTTCATATTGGGGATTTTCTAGAAATGGACCGGGTTCTGGGCTTTTCAATGGTGGGCTGGGTATGGGCCTTTTGAAAATGATTTCATATGATCTCCTTATAGATGACGGTATGGGCTCCCTTTTTTTTTTTTTTTTTTTTTTTTAAAAAAAAGAAATGACTCGTGTATTTGTTCATAAATTACACAGTCCTAATTCGGCTCTTAATTTTGCATATCTATTCCCATCAAGTGCCTTTGTTAGTGTGTCTGCAAGTTGATTTTCAGTGTTGATATGTGTGAGATTGATGATTTCGTTTTCAACTAACTCTCTTATAAAATGATGTCTGATGTCGATGTGTTTTGTTCTCGAGTGTTGTACTGGATTCTTGGAGATATCAATTGCACTTTTGTTATCACAGTGTATGGTCATGGTTGATTGATGTATTCCATAATCTTCTAGCGTTTGTTTCATCCAAAGTAGTTGCGTACAACAACTTTCGGCTGCAATGTATTCTGCCTCTGCTGTTGATAATGATATAGAGATCTGTTTTTTGCTAATCCAAGATACGAGATTTGTTCCTAGAAAGAAACAACCTCCTGAGGTGCTTTTTCTGTCATCTAGGTTTCCCGCGTAATCAGTATCACAATAGGCTGATAGGTGGTGATTGGTATCAAAAGAATACCATAGTCCTAATTCGGTGGTTCCTTTAACATATTTGATGACTCTTTTTACTGCCTTTAAATGTTGTTCAGTAGGATTTGCTTGATATCTTGCGCATATACCTACTCCAAAGCTTAGATCTGGTCTACTGGCAGTTAGGTAGAGTAGTCCTCCTATCATACTTCGATATAGGGTTTGCTCAACTTGTTTCCCTTTTATATCTTTTGTGATCCTTTCTGTTGTTAGAACTGGTGTTCTGACAACTTTGCTTTCTTCTAGTCCGAACCTCTTAACTAGATTTTTTGCGTATTTGCTTTGTGATATGAAGATCCCACTGTCTTGCTGTTTGATTTGTAAACCTAGGAAGTAGGTTAGTTCTCCAACCATGCTCATCTCAAATTCACTTTCCATGTTAGTGATGAATTGATTTTTGTGATCCTCAAGTGTTGATCCAAATACTATGTCATCAACATAGATTTGGGCAATGACTATGTCTTGACCATGGTGTTTGACGAATAGGGTTTTGTCCACGCTACCTCTTTTGTACCCTTTTTTTTACTAGAAACTCAGTGAGGTGTTCGTACCACGCTCGTGGTGCTTGTTTTAGTCCATATAGTGCCTTGTTGAGTTTAAAAACACTTTGTGGAAAATGGGGGTCTTCAAACCCTTTTGGTTGAGCAACATAGACTTCTTCTTTTAGATATCCGTTTAAGAATGCCGTTTTTACGTCCATTTGGTAGAGTTTTATTTTGAGAATGTAGGCTACTGCTATGAGAATTCGGATTGATTCAATTCTGGCTACTGGAGCGAATGTTTCCTCAAAATCTGTCCCTTCAACTTGGGTGTATCCTTGCGCTACTAGTCGGGCTTTGTTTCGTATAACGTTCCCTTGTTCGTCTGTTTTATTTTTGTAGATCCATTTTGTCCCTATGATATTGGCATTCTCTGGTTTGGTGACTAACTGCCAAACGTTGTTTCTTTCAAACTGTTGTAATTCCTCATGCATGGCTCCCACACAAAATTCATCTTTTAATGCTTCCGTGATGTTTTTGGGTTCTATTTTTGAGGTGTAGCAGTAGTCATAGTCTCCTTCTTCCATTTTTTGATAGTCTCGTTTTTCCCTCTAGTTCTGATTCCTTCATTTAGTCCTCCTATAATGTTTTCTATTGGATGATTTTTCTGTATCCTGGTCTCATCAGTGGTGAGGATTTCTTCCTTTTCTTCAGAGTCTACAGCTTCTTCTTTTTCTAATGATTTTGATTCAGAATTCTGGTCATGTGATGTTGGAACTGTTGTTTCAACAACAGTTATCTCTTCGTCATTTTTGGGGAAATCTTCTGTTGTGTCATTGACCACAACATTGATAGACTCCATGACAGTGTTTGTCCTAAGGTTATATACTCGATATGCCCTGCTGTTTGAGGAGTATCCTAGGAAGATCCCTTCATCTCCTTTGACATCAAACTTTCCCAATGGTTCTCTATCTTTTAGGATATAACATTTGCTTCCAAATACATGTGTGTGTTTTAAATTTGGTGTTCTTCCTTTCCAGATTTGGTATGGTGTCATGTTAGTCTCTTTTCGAATGAATACTCGGTTTATCAAGTAACATGCTGTGTTAACTGCTTCTGCCCAGAATTTTGATGGAAGTCTTTTGTGATTTAAGAGGACTCTTGCCATTTCTTGGATGGTTCAATTCTTTCGTTCGACTACCCCATTTTGTTGGGGTGTTTTTGGTGCGGAGAACTCATGATGAATTCCATATTCTGTGCAGTATTCCTTGAATTTTGAATTCTCGAACTCCCTTCCATGGTCACTTCTTAGGCGAATAATTTTTCCTATTCTTCCCTCCTTTTCATTCTGAATTTTGATAATGAGGGTCTTGAATGTTGTAAATGCTTCAGATTTTTCTCTAAGAAAGTTTACCCACGTGAATCGTGAGTAGTCATCAACTGTTACATAGACATATCTTTTTCCTCCTATGCTTTCTGTCTGAGTTGGTTCAAACAAATCCATGTGAAGTAGTTCTAGGATTCTAGAAGTGTATATTCCTGAGGTCTTCTTATGGGTTGTTCGGGTTATTTTGTTTTCAAGACATGCATCACGTTTTTTGTTTTCATCTATGTCAAGTGTTGGAACTCCTCGATAGACTCCTCTCTTTAAGCCCTTTTTCATGTCATGAAAGTTTATGTGACCCATCCGTTGGTGCCATAATTGTGTTTGGTTGACGGTTGTCTGTAGACAAGATAGATCACCGTCCCATGTGTAGCATTTATTTGTGGATTTTCTTCCGATCATAGCACATTCATGGTTTTGATTGAGAACATTGCAACTATCTTTTGTGAATTCTACTTTAAGTTCATCTTCACATAGTTGACTTATACTAATCAGGTTTGCTTTTAACCCTTGTACTAAGAAGACTTTTGATAATTTTGGTAGTCCAAGTACATTTAGGGTTCCATTTGCAACAATTTTTCCTTTTCCTCCATCTCCAAAGGTAACATATCCTTCATCTTTGTAATGTATGTTCTCTAAACTTTCTTGATTTCCAGTCATATGCCTGGAACATCCGCTGTCAAAATACCATATATCTTGCTCCTTGTTTGTTTTGGAGGTGTATGCAACATTTTGATCTTTTCTTACCCAGACTTTCTTGCTACTATTTTTGTTGTGTGGTGGCCAAACTCTGTTGTTTTGTCTGTAGTAATAATCATTTTGTCTTTTGTAGCAATGTGCTTTGATGTGTCCTAGTTTGTGACAATAGTAGCATCTTATTCTTCTTCGATGTCGGAAGTGCTGTTGCGACACTTCCTGTATTTCAGGTTGGTTATTTTCACTGGTGTCCGTGCTTGGAGTCCTGGGTCTTTCGTTTAGCCCTTTGATTTCTTGTAGTAGTTTGGCTTCATTGTTTTTGAAGTCTGATAGTTCTTTTTGAGCTTCTTCGTATTGTTTCTCCAATCGTTCTTTTTCATTTTTTAAATAATGATTATTTTCCATGAGTTCCAAATTTTTCTTGACGATTTGTTCCCACTTGGCGTTTAGTTGAGTATATGCTTCTAGTAGCTCTTGCATATCATCACTATTGTTGTCTTCATGACTAGCAGTGAAGGCTACGAAGTTTGTGTTGTTGTCATCTTCTTCACTTTCTGAGTCATCGCTCAGAGTTGTTATATATGTCTTGTTTTTTCTTTTCAGGTATGTGGCACACTCTGATTGAATGTGTCCAAAGCCTTTGCATCCATAGCATTGTATTCCTTCTGTAATTGTATTATCTCTTCTCTTTGGATTGAATGGTTTTTGATTTGCAGAATTTCCTTGGTTGTTTGAAAGATTTTTATTTCTGGACTTGTTGAATTTTTTGAGAACTCGGTTAAAATTCTTTGTCAATAGAGCTATTGACTATTCCAAGGTTTCTGAATCAATTTCTGAGTTCTCTTCTTGTCTGGACTGTAACGCAATTCCTTTACCATTGTTTTTCTGATTTTGTAGCATCTCAAGTTCATAGGTTTGAAGATTTCCTATTAGGTCACTAAGTCTGTATGTATTCAGATCTTTATTTTCTTGAATAGCGGTGACTTTCATTTGGAATCTCACAGGTAGTGAGCGTAGTACCTTTTTGACAATTCTATGTTCGGGTATCGGTTCGCCTAGGTTGAATGCATCTCCAGATATACTTAATACTCTGGCACTGAATTGGGTGATGCTTTCTTCCTCTCCCATTTTCAGGTTTTCAAATTCGGTTTGTATCATCTGAAGCTTAGATTGTCTTACCGTTGTGTTTCCCTCATGATGATCGCATAATATACTCCATGCAATTTTGGCTATGCGTGTTGATGCAATTAGTTTAAAAGTGTCTTCGCTCACTGCTCCATATATTGCATTCATAGCCTTTGAGTTGAAGTCATATTCCGTTTTCTCTTCTTCGCTCCAATCAGTTCTAGGTTTTGCATTACCTTTATCATCAACTGGAGTTTTCCATTCATTTTCTATTGCATTCCAGACGCCTTCTCCAAGTGCTAGAATATATATCTGCATTTGAGCTTTCCAATAGGAGAAGTTTGTGCCAAGTAGAGCCGGGGGTCTATTGTTTGAAAGACCTTCTCTTGGGAACTCCATTTTGGATCCTGCTAGTAACTTGAGCAGACCTGCTCTGATACCAATTGAAATAAATATAAATGTTGGATACGTGTATGTTGAAACTGACGTTGCGACACAATAAATTTATAACGCAGTTTGGGCAAACAACCCTAAACTGCGAGGCACTTCTCGAATTGAGAATTTGCCTAA